TCCGCTTCTGTCTTCATTTAGTAACATCTGTTGTGGTCTTGGTATCAGAGAGAGAGAGAAGAGAGAGACAGACTGTCGGCCCGTCGGAACACACCTCACGAACTCGAGACTCTTAACATGTTGGACAGAAATACAAGCGAAGACTTTATGTTGATAAGATGTGACGTTGGTAGATAAAAGAGAGGTTGGGATTGTGGTAGGTCGACAATTTGTGATGAGGGCTGGGCAGGGTGGGCTCGGGTCGTGGTTGGGCTGGGTCGAGTCGGGTTGCCAGCGTTTACAGGATCATTGATGTAGCAATTATTATTCCCAGGTAAAACAGATAATGGATATAGAGTAGCCGTAAAGCCTCAGGTGATGGTGATCGTGTGGGTGAGTCGTTAGCGAATGGGGTGTGTGTGTACGGGCCTTATTGTTAAGAGTTTATTACGGGGGTCGTTAGTGATGCGGCGCACTTACTGCAATACCCGGCAAACACCAGATGATTACCGCTAATTAAACACACACACACACGCCTGAGGGGGGGTTGTGGAGGGGTGAGGAGGGGAGGGAAGAGGACACACCTATCTGACCCACCGGTAAATTGGCCCTAAGTCCTCTCTCCCTCTCCTCTCCCTTCTCTCAATCTCAACCTTCTCATCCTCCCTCTCCCTCAACCCCCCCCTTCCTCAATCTCCTCCTCTTCCTCCCCTTCCCTCAACCTCTTCCCTCACCCCCCTCTTCCCCCTCCCTCAACCTCCTCCTCTCTCTCCCTCAACCTTCTCTCCCGGATATTATTTTTTCACACCAGGAAATTGACGGAGGGATGACCTGGTGTGTGTGTGTGTGTGTGTGTGTGACAATAACTAAAACTGATAGCCTCCCACACCTCCTCAGTATACACCTGGATCACACCTATCGTTAGCTTTAAGCCAATCACGCCATCCCCCCTCCTTCTCCCACCCCCTAGTCTTCTCTTATCACAACGAGTCGTATCATTATCGTCTCGTAGCGTTGCGGAATGTTACTGTTTTCCATCATTGTTAATATTATTTATCTTACATACATACATACCAGACATAGCTAATTTTGGTATATTTATGTATATTTTTATTATTAACTCTTTACCTGTCCATCATCTCATGTTAACTTATTTATGTTAAGTTCTGTTTATTGCTGATGATTTTTCACCTGTATTATTAATTCAAGGTATCTATAAGTCAGTTTAGTTAAGTTATTTTATCATTCCATGTTAATTACCTTCTTATACTCCCAGTTAACATTCATTATCATCCATTATGCTTGTTAATCATTCCATTGTTAAATACATCTTAATACCCCCCTCTTGTTAACATCCAGCTATATGTTATTTTCCTCGTTTATCATTCTGCTTTCCTCCCCCACGTCGTCGACTCTTCCTCAGTCTCTCTATTTCCTTTACCGGTACTGGCCGTGTAATTAGAGGTCAGGGGATAATGGTAGTGATATTAATGGTGTTGAAGCGAAGGTAGGAGGAGGCAGCAGGTACAGTGTCTCTTAAAGGAACAGCTTCTCAGATTTGTGGACTGCTAACCTATCCTAACCTACCATAACTTAACCGAACCTAACCCGGTGAAAGGGACTTATCTTTTCGGAAACCTGTCATGAGGGGAGGAGCTTGTTGGAAACCTGTCATGAGGGGAGGAGCTTGTTGGAAACCTGTCATGAGGGGAGGAGCTTGTTGGAAACCTGTCATGAGGGGAGGAGCATGTTGGAAACCTGTCATGAGGGGAGGAGCTTAGAAACCAGGGGCGAGGGGCGGAGCAGTGTGTGTGTGTGGTGCCCAATGAGGGGAGGAATGTGTGTGGTGAGGTGGGTGAGGGGGGGTTGGGGTTGGCGTGTGGTCCCTCGGCCGTGTGGTTGTCAGTGCACGGCACATCCAGGCTGCTCCTGTCAGCCCCGCAGCCTCTCTACTTGTCCTTCTCTCCCCCACTTCAACCCCCCTCCACCACCCTAATACTGATTGCCCTTCCTCCCCTTTCCTTCCCCTCTGTGTACTCTTTCCCTCCCCCCTTATTCCCCCTTTTCTTCCCCTCCCCCTCATTTCCTCTACTCCCCTTGTGTACGCTGGCACCATGTCGTTGCTCAGTTCCCTGCTGCCAGAGTCACCTGTGTCTCACCTGCACACATGTAGCGCATACACACGACCCCCACACCTGTTGTCACCTATCGTTTCTCGTTTACCTCATAGCAGCAAGTTAGGTAACGTATTCCTCTGTCTGACATAAGTCGAGTGGTGGTGGCTGTGTGCGGGATCTGCTCACGTGGACGAGGTTAAGTGGTTATGTTATGGAGTTAATAGGCAGTTGTGTTCTACCGAGGCAGTTGTTGTGTAGAGGAAGTGAAGGTGTGTGTGTGTGTGTGTGTGTGTGTGTGTGTGTGTGTGTGTGTGTGTGTGTGTGTGTGTGTGTGTGTGTGTGTGTGTGTGTGTGTGTGTGTGTGTGTGTGTGTGTGTGTGTGTGTGTGTGTGTGTGTGTGTGTGTGTGTGTGTGTGTGTGTGTGTGTGTGTGTGTGTGTGTGTGTGTGTGTGTGTGTGTCTGTGTGTGTTAATACCGATAATAATGATAAAACTATAAATCTTGTTGAAAATATTACGATTATTAATAGTAAACGTGAAGACACTTAACGAGAATGTAATACGTATCACCGCATGTTATCAGACCACAGTGTGTAATGTTATATAGAGATGCTGTATATACATTTCAATACTCTTTACCAGAAATACTTGGGATATCATTTTATAATAAGTAACGTGTATATGTCACTCTGTCATGGTAATACTATAGTTGTCACGGATGTATGTGTCATGTATATATACGTATGACTCCCATGGTAATGATATAGTGAGCGTGACACAAGTCCTTTTACCCTCTACTTGTTCCCCACTGAGACACACCACACTTGATGTTCTCTGTGTTTTACTTATCTTTACCAGGTAGATCATTTTCACCTTGTACCTACGTTGATTGTAAGATGTAGTGTAGTGTGGTGATAATGGTGATTGTTATGGTGTTTAATGGTTGATATATATATACACTGTTAGGTTATTGTTATTAGTGGCACTGGTTAAACACGCTGATGATTGTGATGATCTTGGTAGTGGTAGTAGTGGTAGTGGTGATGGTTTCAATCAGTCATGTGGCGTGTGGTGGTGGTGGTGTGGGGGGGGAGGTGGGGAGGTGGTAGCCCAGCCAGCTAGTCAGTCAGTTATTCATTTCGTGTCAGTGTGTGTGTGTGTGTGTGAGAGACTTATGTGCTGTTCAACGAGGAGCTTCTTATTAAATTCTCCCTCATGGGATTATAACATTACTCGGAGATGGGAATGTGAGGATTTCCACGTTACTGTAGTTGTAGCACACATGGTGAACTCTCTTAACAACTGAACCACCCCAAGACGACCCCCCTCCCCCAAAAGACCCTAAAACGACCCCTCCTAAACCCCCCCAAACAAGGTGTTGTGTTACATTAATTGTGGAAATAAACGAGTGCCACAGTGGGTAAACAAGGCGTGGTGTGGCGTCTGTCATGAACGGCGGCTGTGGCGGCGGCCTGGTGTATTACCGACCCCATGATTTGTGTTACAGCCGGTTAAGTGTGGGAAAGGTGAATGGCGACGCTGTTCAGTGTCAGGAACATGTCACTGGTCAGACGTCTCCTGTCTCCTGTCACCCCCCACACACACTCCATCAGACTTTACTCACTTCCGTCATATTGTATTAATCACGTCAAAAGGAATCAAGATCCTTCACACGCGATGGAACTCTACTGAACCCAGCAGGAGTCAGGGGGGTGAGGTGCGGCCGGGAGTCGTTTAGTATTGGCAGTGTGAGGGGGTGGTGAGGGGCTGCAGGTGATAGGGTGAGGGTGTCAGAAAATGAGGGCCAGGCTTCTGAATGGCTCCGCGTGGCTAATAATATTTACTTTCTCTTCTTCGGTATTTTCACCATTTATTAGTTTGAGGTCATGAGAGAGAGAGAGAGAATAGCGTTGGACGTTACTTAAATTATGAAGTGTTAAGTAGGTCATTGCTTACGTGTGCTCGGTATGCTGTGGTGAGTGAAATCTTGACCATCCCTGAATACTGTCTGATTTTAGCGGGAGCGGACCATTCTAAAACTAAGGTTCAAGGATGGTTTGTTTTTATTGGTCTGGACGGAGGAACATACACAAACCCAGTGGCTAACTATTAATACAAATAGCTGGAGATCATAGAGAAAAAAATAACCTTTTATGTATTCTTGAGGGAGGACGTGCCAGCTTATGTTATGAGCTTGGCCCTCGTGTACTGGTTACCTGAGGGCTACCTGTTTATCACCTGAGATTTATTATTATAGGGAATGTATGGCTACCTGTGTCTATATATATATACTCAACAGGTATTTAAGTGTATTGAAGTTATTGGGCGTAGAGTATATATACTGTAGACCAGAGGAGGAGGGGGGTGTACAGGCCATGGGTAGACGTACAGTGGCGTTAACGAGGACTTGGAGTATCGATCATGGAGGACCTGCGTGATCTGTCCTGAGCTAACAGATATGATGGACAGTTGGGCGGTGGTAGTCCTTCTCCCCTCCCCGTGCCCTCCATCCTCCGTCTCTAACCTCCTCACCCTCTTAGTCTCGCCTCCCTCTCCATGAGTCTTATATAGCGGCCATAAATAATTCATATCAAGTTATTGTTGTTTCTTCCTTTGTTTATGTGGAGGAAATATTGAACAGTGTGATCCAGTGTCCGGTTAACTGGTTATCGGACGTTCGGTATCGGCAAGACTGTTAGTGTTATATTGTTGTGGTTATGTTGCGATGTTGGCACTTTACTGTCCACAATATTCATCCCGTTTTAAGGAAAATTTCACAGTGGTCGACCTTGGTCCACCAGACGCTGAGCTATTTTTGTTTTTATACGTTAGAGCGGCAAGACTTAAGTGTACCTGTCCTTACCTTAACTCTTTGAGAAGCTAATTGTGTTTATTCCCATAATAGGTTACAAGAACTGACAATAATAAACTTGATATTTCACGCGATGAATTGACAAAATCTTTACTATGTTGATTGGAATTACTTAAGTGGTTAACGGCGTGCGTACACAGACGCCCACACGTGAGTGAAGGCAACACTGTAGAGTAAAACAATACATTGGTGTTGTTTGTGAAGTGACAGGTGTTGGTATATTTAGTGAGTGAACCTGTACCAGAGTACATGTCCTCGAGAGTTGTACTGGTGTATGTAATGAGTGATGTTATATAATACAAGTGCACCAACGTCTCTCTGTATATAGTGAAGTTATTTTGTGTGTATACCATTAATGAAACAGGATATTAGTGTTGTGTTAAGAGGGGTAGTGGTGTTTAGTGAAGTCTGGAGTGTGTGTACAGACTATGCAGTGGTTGGCCCACTGGCGGCCAGGAACCCGGGAGAGCTGCTGCTGCTGCAGGTGATGACGAACACCGTGTAGTGTGAAGGTGGCACCACCGCCATGTACACCTACGCTGGAACCTACCCTGGGGCCTACATGGGCGTGGGATCAGGGGTGGGTAGCCTGTCAGGCGGGAGCATGACGGCGCCCTCTGCTCACCACCACCAGGTGCTGGCCACGCCCACGCCTATACCTGCAGCAGCAGCCGCCGCCGCCCACTCCATGACCACCTCCCTCCCGCCCACCACCGTCAAGAGAAGGTAAGTATACGCCTCACTTGTCTCATCTCTCAAGTTGCTGGGTTTTGAGTTTTAGTATAGACTTCTGCCATTGTATTAACTCTATTGTTACAGAAATTCTACTGTTTTATTTTACTGACATTGTTGGCTGTCATACACAGTACAGGGCCAGGAACACCAGATCTGTGGTCCAACATGGAAGCCATCATGTTTGGCAAGAGACCTTGATGCTGCCTGGCTGGTGAGCGACACAAGGCGGTGTTGACAGACAGACCCCTGGACAAGGACGGTGTTTAATAGTTCTCTTACATGTTGTGTTCAATGCTACCAACAGTTAATGTGTGGGGGGGGGGGGTCCTCACGTCTCCCAACAAGATTTAATATTGAAGTAAACCAAGTCGCCATTCAGGTGCTTAACGTAGAACCTTTTGTGTTGAGGTAGGCAGCGCCAAACCCCCTTCAGTGATACATCGAGAGAGAGAGAGTGTATATACCGCAAGTAATTGATGACCAGAGAGAGTCGCTCACCGTGAGGAAGATAAATGTAGGGGGAGGTGTTGAAACCCCATAAAAATTGATTAGGAAGTCATAGAGCGTAGAACCCACTGTGGCTCCAGGTACTGTGAAGAATGGGTTGACCACACTACCGCACTGTGGTGATAATGGGTCTCAAGTGGGTGGTTGAGAGAGAGAGAGAGAGAGAGAGAGAGAGAGAGTTCATCACCATGTACATAAGTGATGGGATCGTTCCTGAATGACTCCCTCCCTCCCTCCCTTAATTAGCTTAGTTACGTCAACACCAAGTTTGTTCAGTAAATTCATTCCCGTGTAAGCTCATTGCCTCGTCAGAAGAGAGCCGAGAGTGAACTTGGCGGCCATGAGTTCTAAACCTTCAAGTGCAACAAGAGAGTGAAAGAGCTCGTGTTTGTCTATCTTAAATGGATCACCCCATGAATCTCCTCTCCCGGTTAGGTTAGGTTAGGTTAGGTTAGGTTAGAGGGGTTAATCTTCAGGTGAGGAGTTAAGGTCTTAGGTTGGTGAGGTTAGGGTCTTGGGTTGAGGGTGAGGAGTTAAGGGTCTTGGGTTGAGGTGAGGGAGTTAAGGGTTTTAGGGTTGAGGTGAGGAGTTAAGGGGTCTTGGGTTGAGGGTGGGAGTTAAGGGTCTTGGAGGTTAGAATTTGAGGAGGTAAGAGGTCTTGGGTTGAGGTGAGGAGTTAAGGGTCTTGGGTTGAGGTGAGGAGTTAGGGTCTTGGGTTGGGGTGAGGAGTTAAGGGTCTTGGGTTGAGGGTGAGGTAAGGGTCTTGGGTTGAGGGTGATGGGTTCCACCTGGATTAGTGTGATTTACACTGAGGAGGAAATGAAGTGTAGTCATGATTTAAATGTGTGTGTGTGTGTGTGTGTGTGTGTGTGTGTGTGTGTGTGTGTGTGTGTGTGTGTGTGTGTGTGTGTGTGTGTGTGTGTGTGTGTGTGTGTGTGTGTGTGTGTGTGTGTGTGTGTGTGTGTGTGTGTGTGTGTGTGTGTGTGTGTGTGTGTGTGTGTGTGTGTGTGTGTGTGTGTGTGTGTGTGTGTGTGTGTGTGTGTGTGTGTGTGTGTGTGTGTGTGTGTGTGTGTGTGTGTGTGTGTGTGTGTGTGTGTGTGTGTGTGTGTGTGTGTGTGTGTGTGTGTGTGTGTGTGTGTGTGTGTGTGTGTGTGTGTGTGTGTGTGTGTGTGTTGTGTGTGTGTGTGTGTGTGTGTGTGTGTGTGTGTGTGTGTGTGTGTGTGTGTGTGTGTGTGTGTGTGTGTGTGTGTGTGTGTGTGTGTGTGTGTGTTAAGTCTCAATATATCAGGCTGACGAGGGGAGAAGGGAAGCAGTCACTAAGTAGATCAATTAAGCCATCTAGCGTGTCCTCATGAGACTTTTGACAACAATCCAGCAATCAGATCAGTGCTGTGGTGGAGAGTGTGGTAAGTCCGCCAGCAGAAGATGCAACACAAGAAGATGCAGGGGGGAATTACCTTGTGGTCTCCGGCGTGTGACCGACCACTTGTTACTTGGCAATATTCGAAAAATTCCACCAGGTATATCGATCCACTGGGTGATTGTGTATTGTGTGGTTGAATCACCTGTGTTTATTGTAGCGTGACCTCTGCCATCAAGACTCGACCATCCATGTAGTTATCGTCGTCTCCTGTCTCCTCCTGACGTGATCACCTCCGTCAGTTGTCGATGAACGTTATTATTATATTCTGAAAATGTCTTAAGAGATAATTTTCACCTTAAGAAGATCAAAATTTATACTTAAAGAGACAGTCAACACTAAATCTGGATATCATTTTCATTAAAGTATATGCCAGTTACTGTCGCACCCTCGTAGTTACTCTCGCACCCTCGTAGTTACTTTCGCACACTCGTAGTTACTCTCACACTCGTAGTTACACTCTCACACTTGTAGTTAAATGACACACACTCGTAGTTACTCTCGCACACTCGCAGTTACTATCACACACTCGTAGTTACTCTCACACTCGTAGTTGCTCTCACACTCGTAGTTACTCTCGCACACTCGTAGTTACTCTCGCACACTCGTAGTTACACTCTCACACTCGTAGTTAAATGACACACACTCGTAGTTACTCTCGCACACTCGCAGTTACTATCACACACTCGCAGTTACTATCACACACTCGCAGTTACTCTCGCACACTCGTAGTTACTCTCACACTCGTAGTTGCTCTCACACTCGTAGTTACTCTCACACTCGTAGGTACTCTCACACTCGCAGTTACTATCACACACTCGTAGTTACTCTCACTCGTAGTTGCTCTCACACACGTAGTTACTCTCTCACACTCGTAGGTACTCTCACACACTCGCAGTTACTCTCACACTCGTAGTTGCTCTCACACTCATAGTTACTCTCTCACACTCGTAGGTACTCTCACACTCTCGCAGTTACTATCACACACTCGTAGTTACTCTCACACTTGTATCCGGTCACTTGAAGTCAGGGGTGCGTGTTGACAGGTGGTATTAATTAAACAGTAGGTAATAGATTCTTCAGGTACAATGGGCCACTTACGCGGTGTTTATGATGACGTCGCTTAATGAAACGAATTAATAACTACCGCGCGACATTGAGCGCTTGTCTGTGTTTACTCATGCGGGGAAAATATTGTGAGAGAGATTTTTTGGCCCAGCCTGCCAACGGCCTGCCAATAGCCTACCATCAGCCTCTCAACAGTCTGCCTCCATGGTCTTTTGGCCACCAACCTGCATCCACTGCCTATCATGGTCCCAACTGTTACCGCGTCTTCTTATCGCACTCGACCTACTCCGCCATACTCGACCTACTCCGCCATACTCGACCTTTACTCCACCATACTCGACCTACTCCGCCATACTCGACCTTTACTCCACCATACTCGACATCTATCCCACCTTCCCTTCCTCCGTGTTCCCACTTGTCTTCCTCTCCCGCCGTGTGTGCCGTGTTTGTGGCGTACCTGTCATTTGGTAACTGGATATTCATGTTTGAGCGCCGTACATCAGTGTGGTGGACCCCGCCCTCCGCCACGCGTGTAAACTTACCTTCTTACCCCTCATTACTGTCTTCACTACGCTGCCACCTGGCCACTCTTTTCCTGCCCTCTGATGTATCGCCCCCCCTCCCTCGTTACCTCCATCCCCGTGATTTTTTCTTTCTTTTGTATTAGGATCAACTGAAGATTATCCCATCCCTCTCCTGCCTTCTCTAAGTTTATTTCACCTGGCGGGGTGTTGGGTGAAATAGGCTTGGAACTAATCATCAGGTAATCCCGTATTATGATTGGTATTGTTTAAGCCAAATAAATTGACTTGTTATGTTTATGGTTATTATGTTGGAAGAATTTAGACTCGGCACAGTAATGTTATGTACCGATATATATGTGTGTGTGTGTGTGTGTGTGTGTGTGTGTGGGTGGGTGTGTGGGTGGGTGTGTGGTTGATGAACTTATATTGTAAAAACCTTTTCTAAAAAATAATATGCGACAATTAACTATTTTATATGATTAATAGGAAAGAAATAGTCAGACAGACAGACATACCTTCAGTAACTTGTAATGAAAATAGAAGTAAAGGTGTACATAATATATACCGTACATGTAAGTAAAGGTGAGTAGCCGTAGTACTAGAGGGAGGCAGAAGGTGGCGTGAACCGTGGCGATGTTTGCCATTACTTACAGCCGCGGACGAGGCTGTGTTTACCCACTGATCCCCCGACGATTCGCTATTTTATATAACTACGTGTGCGTGCTTCACAAATCGGTGGGTATTTGCCCAGCGAAACGTGTGTTATTTGGTGCTCAGGGATTAAATAGAATTGTTTAGCAGTCAATCAGGGAAGTGATAGCCTGTGGGCGAGGCGGAGCGTGGCGGTGTGTCAGGGCGGGGCCTCACACCTCCTGTATAAATGGTGCAACACACACACACACACTCGCTACCTTTTATTTGCTCAGCCACACACATTAAAGGGCAGTACTCTGTAATGTAGTTTTAATAGATATTAAACACGCCTTAGGTATTAATTTGTCTCCATCTGTCTTGGGCAGGTGTTTGTTAATTACTGCGCGACACTTCCGGCTGTGGGAGGGACCTCTTCACACCTCTGCTCACCGTGTGCAATGACAGACACACACACACACACATGTACGGGAGTGTGGTGGGTCATGTTGTGGAAGATGGTGGCAGTAGTAGTAGTAGTGGTATTGCTAGTAGTAGTAATGGTGATGACGAGAACCACATGGCTGGGGATGAAGGCTGTCTCTGTTGTTGCTTGTTAATACATCGCCTCTCGCCGCCCCTCTCTGTTGTTAACGTGATCCTCCATCGTATATTCCTGTTACTGTTGTTATTTTACCTGCTGTTCCATCCTCCCCCCTACTCTCCATTTGTTACTACTATCGCTACTTATGTTATTACGATTGTTAATATCTGTAGTTATCGTCGCCGCCTCTCCCATTGCCGTTCGTTCGTTCCACTACAGAAATTAGGCAGTATTGTCC